GGTGCCGCCCGTGTGGGGCTGCGCTCGCAGGAATGGAGAATGCGTGTGCGTGCGCCCTGTGGAGGCGGGGGAAAAGCAGGTGTGCGCGCTTGAGTTTGGATCTGTGTCAGTTTGTGAGGCCACATTTAAGGTGTGTGCCAGGACACTGAACCTCGGTAAGATCCACAGTGTTCTCTGAGTATAAGGTCAGGGTTTGTAACTGGCCAGTGTTATTTACAAAGGAAGAAACGACTTCGAAGTGTTCCTGCTTGCATGCTCTCCTGGAGGGGATCTGCACGGCGCATGTGTATCCAGGCTTTGTTTCATGACCTTAAAGAGGATGTCCTGGTGACAGGCAGTGGCCTTGTGTCGATGGTCTGTTTCCCTCCCTTCCTTTGGCAAAGGCTGGCAGCTTTTGAAGAATTTTCCTCAGGGTTTGCGGTACAAATACAGAAGTGCTTAGCTACTGAAGTGCTTAGCTACTGAAGCCGGTAGCACAGTCTGGTACACTGAATTCAGGGTAATTGTAGGCACTGGAAAGCATGGGGAAGTAGTTTGTGTGGACCTCTATTGCTACTATGTTATGTGTTCTTTAGATGTCGTGGTGTACATATGTATTCTGAATATGTTTGGAGAACTGAAAGGTGCTCTGCAAATGATATATTCATTATTTGCAGTTTGGTATGCCATAGGACTCCTTACTGGTTTTAAAAACTTGTGCTCAGTTTCCTTTAGTTTCTAGGTTTGTGGGGCATTCCCCTTCCTTTATTGGCAGGTCAGATCCTACCAGAAAACACTGATGTATGGGAGCTCTTCCAGTGAGTTGAAGAGGGAGTGCAGTAGTGCATGTACACTTTGGGCCTGTCTCTCTCCGTAGACATCCGCAGTGTAGACAGGAGCCTTTCTGAAATGGAGTAACTAAACCTGTCATTAAAACTAGGTGTCAAATGCTGATGCTGTAATTCCACATCTGTTTTAAACTAGTTCTGCTGCCAGAGGAAACTGTCTTTCCTCCTTCCAAGCACCCAAAGAGTCTATCTTTATATTGGATTAACTCGATGGTCTAGTTTGTGGTGTATTTCCCTAAATATTGTGTCCATCCAAGAAAGTATATGACATGGGGCAAAACTGCTTCTGGTGATTGTGTTGAGCTATACCTGCTCAGAGTGCCTGTGAAACTAACAAAAATGGGCTGTGAGGACAGGTTTAGGTTCCTTTGTAAATAATACTAGTTGTTGCAGCTGGTGGACTGTAAGTTATAAGAATGTAGGGTTGAAGTGGATGTGTATAGGGGACATGGACCTTCAAGCTCTCGGGAGACTTCTGCTTGTTGTGAAAGCTTTCTGCCTTCAAGGATTCTGGCACAACCCATACAGCTTCTCTGCCTTTACTCTCACTGTTCAATTTATGTGCATGTGTGGAACCAAAACTGTTTATCAGAGTGTGCCTTGTTTATTAACAGCAGAATAAATCCATTCAAACTCAAGTTAACAGCTACAAGCAGTAGCTGCAAAGCAATCCACTTTCATGTAATTGTCATTTTTACTGATCTAGAAATACATTATCAACTGATGATGAGCTTTGTTTTCTTTATGAGTGTATGAGTAGGAACAAAACTGTTGAATGGTGTCACGCTGATTCAAATAGAATTCTATGTAGACTTATTTTTATGCTTTTATTTTCAGGCTCCTGCTTACCACCTCATTTTGGAAGGAATTCTCATTCTATGGATAATCAGACTTCTTTTTTCCAAGACCTATAAGCTTCAAGAGCGCTCTGATCTAACACCTAAGGTATTGTGGAAAAATATTTTTCTTTGCAGAAACAGTTTATAGCTATTGATGTATTTGGTTGTTGAACCACTGCTGCATCACAAATTGTGCTGGTTTTTCTTAGGATTTCAAAGGATGAGCTTACTTTGAGCTAAGAAATTGCTTATTCCATGAACACTTCAGCTAGTGCTTTTAAAGTAGCACTGTGTTTGAGAGTCTGAGAAATACAAAAGAACTGATGTGACCATGACTGCTAAGCTACGAAAAACCGGCATTAAGTCTACTCGATGGATGGCTTTGTTTTAAAAAGGAAAGCTATACTAAAAAACCCCTACCAAACAAAATAAACTATAAGAGTATTGAGAGTAGGAAAATGATCAGTCTGTACATGTAGTATCTGTGAGTAATAATTCTGAGAGTTTACAGTGTTGAGTGGATTGCAGAAAACTTTGCAGTTTAGTGGCAGTTTTCTTCTTTTGCAATGTGGTTGTCTCAAAAAAACCCCAACCAAACAAAAACCTGTAGTTGTTTGTGAAGACTGGAATTTCTTCCTGACTTCTGGCTGGAGACTATCAGGAGTAAATAGAGTTTGTTTTGGAGATGTCCCTGGACTAGTTTGTCTGAGACATGGTCTGTAATTGGGCTTGCTGCATAATGTCAGAGAATACCATTGAATCTATTGAAAGGATGATTGGATGCAGTCTCTGAATGTGAAAATAGTGAGGTGAGCAAGGATGCACTCATTTCTCTCCGTCAAAGATGAGCTATAGCAGTGTATTGCAGTGTGACAACTACCTTGTGCATGTAAGGGGTTGATATGAAGTCCCATACAACAAACATGCTTAGTTTGCTAGAGCTTCAAAGGAATGGTATTCTTTATGAATGGGGTAAAACACTGGAATTTCTTCATGGTACTGAGGAAGGTTTGTGAAGCACATTGTGGGTATTTTACCTTGTCACTCCCATCTGTATCATGCACTTGCACGTTTTTTGATCTTACTCTTGCTAAGGATACATGTTAAGCATGTGGGCTCAGTGTGATGCATCAGTGAATAAGATGCAGGGACTATAGGCACAAGGCTGTAAATGTGAGCAATTCTTATAGATTATAAATACAGATTTTATAGATCTTGGATACGTTGATTCACAGTTGCAAGGCACAGAAGACAAAAATTTGCAGAGTGCTAAGAGCTGTATTACAGCAAAGGGTTTGACTTGAGATGTTAAAGACAGGAACACCTGTAGCTTTTTGTTACCTGTATCTTGATGGGAAAAAGAATAGTATGGGGGAATGCTCTGTAGTCTGATTGTATGTTCAGGTTGTCTGACAGTGAAGGAAATTTAAGTTAGTCTCGTTGGACGTGGTGTTTTCCATAGGAAGAACTGTATTTGGAAGAGAATGTCTTGTCTACAGTTAGTTTTCTGAAAGTGAGCAAAAAATACAACAGTGAAGTGAGAGTATGAATAAATCTTCTACAATTGGAGGACTTAAGCAGACTGACACGTCAGAGGTGTGGAGTGATTATGTCTCTTTTTCTACATTGTAGGTAATTGCTGTGAAAAGAGCTCATTTATTTTGTGTAGGGGAATAGCTGTGGGGAGACCCACCCCCGCACCTTAATCTTCACTGAAAATCCACAGATAGTTGACACTGGTCTGTGTTGTGGCTTCACCCCAGTAGGCGGCGAAGCACCGCACAGCTGCTCGTTCACTTTCTCCCCTACCCGCAGTGGGACAGCAGAAGAGAAGAGGAAGAGTAAAAGCAAGAAAACTTGTGAGTGAATAAAAAATTGTTTAAAAAGCAAAGGAGAAGTGGAAGAAGAGAGAAACAAAACAAGTGATGCAAGGGCAATCGCTCACTACCTCCCCTGAGTGGACCAATACCTGGCCAATTCCGAAGGAAAAGATGGCTAACTTCCCCAAACCCCCTTTTTTTCCCTTTTATGGCTGAGCATGACTGCTCGGCCTGGAGGAGGCTCTGGGGAGGCCATGTTGCAGCCTTTCAATACTTAAAGGGGGCCTGTAAGAAAGATGAGGACAAAATTCTTAGCAGAGCCTTTAGCGATAGGACATGTTTATAAACTAAAAGAAGGTAGATTTAGACTGGATGTGTAAAGAAGAAGCTTTTTACAATGACGGTGGTCAAACACTGGAACAGGTTGCCAGTGGTAAACCTGTGGTGGTAAAAACCCCATCCCTAGAAACCTTCAAGGTCAGGTTGGACAGGGCTCTGAGCAACCTGATGTAGTTGAAGATGTCCCTGCTCACTGCAGGAAGGTTGGACTAGATGACTTTTGAATGTCCCTTCCAACCCAAAGCATTGTGTGATTCTATAGTATGGAATATCTGTTTGGATAGTTTGGGTCATCTGCCTGGTTGTGTCCCCTCCCAACCTCTTGTACACTCCCCAACAGGCTTCTGTGTGCATGTTGACCTACATGTAGTAACATGCCAGCTGTTCAGAGAGGAGACTGCTGACTTGCTTTCTGATTTGTTCTAGTTTGATTCATGCTGTGGTGTCCGGTCGTTACAACACCAGAAAGAAGTACCAGGTTGCTCAGGTACAGGTGGTGGAGATAGGCCAGCTCAGGTGGTGGAGCTCAGGCTACCTTTATGTCAGCCACTCATGTAAGGATACTTGGAGTTCCTCTGTGAATTGTTGTTGGGGATGCTGCTGGAGCAGAGCTGGCTCTCTGTAATAAAAGTTACTGAAGAATACCACTACTGCACAGCCATCTTGGTGTGATCTGTCAGGACCAGTCTGTCCTGGGGAACCAGAGGCAGACGATATTGTGCAACATAGTGCAGTTAGGAGTCACACTTCTAAAACAGTGAAGACATTTACCCTGAAGGTGGTTTCTGGGTTTAAGTCAAATGTGTAGCAAGAGTACTATGAAATCCAGTGCAGGAATGGGCTTTCAGCTGACTGATTGTCATCCTTCAGTAAGAGTGTTTGTGGATGTTCCTATTGGTTCTATTCCAAAGTAATGAAATCTCCCAAATCATTAACTAAAAAGGTGGAGTACTTCCCTGTGACTATAAGTTCCTGATAGTTTGGGATTTTGAGAAATACACGTAAGTCTGTAGCCAAACAAGGTGCTAGACATATAGAGCCTTTCTGGGCTTTTGGCCCAAACCATGTGGTATTTTGACCCAAAATAAAATCTAAAGAGAAGTAGCGAAGTGCTACGGAGAACTGGAGCAGGCAGTAGGAGACTGCATGGCATCATTTAGCAAAAGGTTCAATGATACTGAGCTTTTCTCTCAAAATCTTTGAAGTCCTGCTAGGAGCCATGTCTTACCATTTGTGGATGGGAGGAATAATTGTTTTCTTTGGTTTTAGAATTTTCACTACAGTAGTAGCATGGGAACAGTTTAATTAGAGTGATATTAGTCAGGAGGCTGGAAAGTTCCTGTGAGAGACAAATGTTTAATGCGTGGCTGAGAAATACTGTGAGCCACAAGAGCTCTCTCTTGCAGGAGCAGCATTCAGAGATTGATCAGATGTTGTTCTGCAGGGAAGAGCAAATGTAGTCTGTTCTTGTAAAGGTTTTCAGTCATTCTGAGCCAAGACTCCTTATGTAGGTAAAGAATTTCATAAGTATTAGCATAGTTTGAAAGAGTGACATTTCTAACTAGCGTGCCCACTGTTTGTGCCAAATTGTGCCATGCTGACATATGATTCTGTAAATACCAGGAAACTAAAGACCTGTTATTTGAGGAGCAGCAAATTAAAAAAAGTCTTATTAATCTTTGGATATTGACACAGATGCATATATGACACTTATTTCAAAACACTAGTGCTAGCTAAGAACTATCTTCATTAATGTAACTGCTACTTTTTTTTAAAAAAACAGCATCAACAACACAACTTATTTAAACAGCCAGGGTTGGATGTCTTTACACTCAAGTATTTCTCTTCCACAGGGTATCTGGTGTTTAAAAAGTAAAAACCACAACCACCAAAGTACAATGTATGTTATATTTATGTAAATATATATATGTGTGTGCATGTGTATTTAGATAAATGTATTTTAGATGTTTCTAGCTGTGCACCAATGTGGAAGTATATGTACTATAATTTAGAAAATATAGACTTTTATATCTAAATATTTTAACGTGTATTGTATATTACTCACAAAATATATGCATTTTATGTTGATATTTATATTATATTTAACATTTATGTTTAAAAGATTTAAAAAGAATTATAAAAGGGCAAGAGAAAGAGATTAGAGGTGAGTTCACTTACATTACAGCCTGAGAGTGGAAATTGAAAGTTTTGAGTTCATTCTTTTCAACAAGTTGATATTTTCAGTACAGTGAACTGAGGAGAAATAAGTGAATCAGTTATATACTGAAGGTGTTACAGTGTGAATTAAAATCTTGTTTCTCTCTGTATTTGAAGATTAAGACTTTTATTCTTGACATTGGTCTGAAATTTGGTGCCTGTTGAGGAGGCAGAAGATAAAAGTGCTGTTCTGAATGTGGGGTCACTGTACAAAAGAAAGCCTGCTTCTACTGTGTCTTTTTGGTCAGAGGGAGGTGGACATGTTTACCCTGAAAGTCAGGAGGATAGGCCAGTTTACTGAGATATTTTGTGAGTCAAAGGAGGAGGGGAATGGACTGCCCCTACTGCAGTATGGATGACCATTTTAGATTGAGATTGGTACTCAATCACCAATATCTCCAATCCCCCACCATAATAAAGGAACTTCTATCACAGAAGCTTTTGTTAAACTACTGCCTGTGCTAAGTACATGGAGAAACAAAACATGTAAGACATGAAGATGCAGTTGTTTGACATTTATGTTCCTATGTCCATCAAAAAGCAAGGTGCCATATAATGGGTTAGGAGAATGGATATGAGCTAGAGTTAGTGAAATGGTGTTGTTTAAGTATTTTATTCAGCATTAAGAAATAAAATCAGGAAATTGCCACTTCTCATCTGTGGCTTGTCACCTGTGCTGTTAGTTTGTGCACTGCAAACCTTTCAAAGGGAAGAATGGAAACTTCTTACTATTTAGGATGAACAGAGGAGAAAAGTACTAATTAGGAATCGCTCATTATCTTTATGTTCGCAGCTCTCAGCTGTAATTGTTCATTGCTATTTTATTATAGTTAGAGTGTCTAACTACAATATTCTAGTGTATTCTATAAATACAATTTTTCTTTCTGCAAGACTCCATGGCAAAAAGAATTTGTGTATCATTTGCTAAGCTGCTCGGTTATATTTTGTACCCTTAGTTCAAAAAATTAGACTTAAATGAAGAAGCTAAGGACATGCTTGCACAGGTTTAATTCTGCCCTCTTTGAAGACAAGGTATGTTATGTTGCCTGCTCTGCCTTTGAACCATGTTCTATAAAAGCTGTTCAAATGTTGTTTGCATTCAGGTCTTAGATAGAAGAAACACCATGCTTCCTAAGTCGTTTGGGTGTTCAATGTCATCTAATGCTTTTCTTATTTATCCTTCCATAACTGACAGGCTGTACCACTTCTCACCTGATTTATTCTGCTTCCTATTTAAAACAAAAAACAACAACCAAAATGACAAAATCCCTGACCCTGTGCTCTAAAATGAACACAAAACTGTTGATGCAAGCTACACCATACACAAGGGATTTGGGGCTGTTCAGCACCAGCTGTTGTCAGAGTGGAGTGAAAGCTGCACCAGCATCCATCCTGCTTCATGATTTTCAGAAGTCTTTTTGAACTCTTGTGAAAAGGTGTAAGATACTACTGGGCAATTGTAACTCAGGATATGGTTTGCCAGTAGCATCAGCCAATCTAGGTAGGGACTGCTTTGTTGTGGGATCTAGTTTAGCTGTATATCCATCCTGCTTTTGGTGAGTTATTGTTCATCTGGATCGTTTTTCTGACCAAAGTTATTGTCTGGCTTTGTAACTGCGTATGCTGACACAAGGAACAGGAATGTACTTGTGGGTGGGAGAGGACTTACTGCAGCAGCTGCTGGCAGTGCAGTGGGTCGGCACACTTAGTGTTGAACTACGTCTTTGGGTTGTTTTTTTTTTTCAAATAGCAGTACAGTATAGAGATGCACAGTAGTAGCTGTTCTGAGACAAGGAATTGCCACTGTGTCTTGGATCAATGGAGTTGAGCATGCAGGGGTTATGGTTGTGGTTCCGCTCTGAGATTACCCTGAATTTGGGTACTACTTTTCCACCATTTTGGCACTGTGTCGCATGTTAATCTCGGGTGTAGGGTCGATCACCTGGTAATTTTTTCCCATAGGGATTTTGAGTTTTTTGTTGAGTCATGTCAAACATGAGGTTTGATAGTAGAATATAGTAATGAGTGGTAGTCAATAGTATTTATGCACAGCTTAATTTGTTGTTGTTCTTTTCTCTGGTGCTCAGTTATTTGTTTGGATTTTTTTCATTGAAGCATTAAAATCTGCTATTTGACATGCTATGAATGGCACTAGTACAGGGTAAATTAATATTACCCCCTACTTCAGTGCTTTCCTTAATATGTGGAACAGCATTTCACTGCATACACAACTGCGTGCAACGCTCCAGCTGGGGTCTGTCCTATAGTGGCTAAAGAACCTAAGCACTAATATAAGTATAGACCCTTCAAAATATTGAATATATTAAATTCTGTTGCACATTTATTGGCATTTTATTTCCTTTAAAACGTATGCCCCATGGGTTAAATTTCAGTAAGAAATCTAACATGAGAAAGTTAAATAAAAAGGTATTTAAAATACATCTGCAAAATATTAGAAACACAAGTGACTATGCTCACATAAAAAGGATCTTTTCTGGAATACAAGGGTATTGAAATTTCCATTTGTGTTTTGAAATAGACCTTCATGGATCTCCTGGGATATTAATTAATACTCTGGAAATACCTAGAAACAAAATTATTCATTAGCTTTGTAAAAGGAAAGTGATGAAAGTACAGGAGACTAATTTGTTGCATGTAGTTCCTTTTGATTTTTTTCACTTCTTAATTTATTTCTGTACTTTGGAGGCTTTGAAAAGTGTATTTGGAAAAAGTGAAAATGGAAAAAGATACTGCTGTGGTGTTTTCAAAAATCGATTGCAGAATTTATATTTTGGTATTGAAATAAGTAGCCTTAAATATTCTACTGCTTTTCAAAATAACAGAGAAATATAAACCCATTGTAGTCGTACCATTCAAAGTGTGTTAACAAATACGTTAACTGGTATATTTTGCTGTACTGGTAAATAGTCCTCCAGGAAAGTTCTGCACTCATGGTATGCAGGATTTGCCTGAGTGGTTGCTAATTTGTGTGGAACTGTCTAATGCAGTTAGGCTGGTCCACTGCATGTCCTTTGGAAAATCATCTAACTGAGATTTTCTAAATGTTTTGAAGCACTTTGAAAACAAATGTGCATTCAGTATTCCTCCTTGGTTAAGTGGGGGATACATGGTTTAGTGGTTGTTACCATTTCTTCAGCATTTGGCAGTTTTTCTCCATTGTGTCTTGCCCACATATGTGTTACTTCGCTAAGTATTTTAATGCCACATTTATTTAAACAGCAGTGTTGAAGACTTGAGAACGTAAAGTGAGGCAATTTATATTCAATTGTTATTTGTATTCAATTACATAAACTGTAGAGGAGGATTTTTGTAATTAATAAATTGAATGAAACAGTATTGACTAAAATTTAGCAGGGACATCAAGTTACCATCTCTCCTCTTGATTATCGTATCATGAGATCTTTAATGCACAGGCATAACTGGGCTGTCTTTCTTTGTATCTCCTTTCCTTTGAAGAATTCAGAACCCCTCAGTTGAACGTAATGAGATAATACTAATTATAAGTGTCTCAGAAAGATGACACATTAGCATAGCATACATCATTTCTCATACAACTATTACCAGCTGTTTGGCATAATATTTTTTTTTTCCAATGGAAACACTTTTTGAGCAGTATTTCTTTTCTTCTGTTCAGGAAAAAGAAGAGTTGATTGAAGAATGGCAGCCAGAGCCTCTTGTACCTCCTGTACCAAAAGATCACCCAGCTCTCAACTACAACATTGTTTCAGGGTAAATGTAACCAAAATTAATTTTGTTTCGCATTTCAAATCAAATACTTGATGTCTATATTTGTAAGCTTATTTCTTACTAAGCCTTTCCATATCCTTAAAACCTTTCATAAATGAATTGCATTTTTAGATAGCCGGACTGCATTTGCCACTGAGAAGATGGCCTTGGTTTTTCAACATTGTCAAGACTATCTTATTAAGAAAATCTTTCTTACATTAAATGTTATAAATGTTTTAATTTTTTTTTTTACATGTTGAGGGTAGAGGAAGGGACACTTTCTCTTTGCCTTCATTGTGGGTCTGTATTGTTTGGTATTAATTTGTTTCAATTTTTCTGAATATGTGGACTTACACCTCCAAAAGTGGTTACCACCTTCTGTGTAGGGGTTGGGGGGAAACTATGTCATCACAAATCACTTCAGAAGAAACTGGTTTTGTGGCTAACCACTTGGCACTTCATTAAAAGTTGTTCCTCTTTGGATAATTAGAAGTGGAGATGCTTGATGGCAAAGTTGTTTTGTGAGGAAATTATGGCTCAACATTACTTGTGTGTTATGATGCTTTTAAAATGTGTATTGACTTAAGCAAGACTAACTGTATATATCACAAATTGTTTTGAAATTTCTTTCATAAGCTTCAGATTTGTTTATGTCAGTAACATTTACAATTTAATAATTCTTAATATCCTTCTAGTGACACTAATAATTTAAAATAATTTAGTGACAGAGCACAATTATTCGCTGCCATAGGGAGTTCCATTTTGCTGGTTCTGCCATCATGGAAAAATCTGCCTTGGAAAGGAGATGCCTATTTTAATCAACTGTGATGTAAACAATCCTTCTGTTATTGTTCAAAATTTTGAAACAAACAATACTGTGGAGTTAAAGGAAGTGTTGGATGTTTAAAAAAAAATCTGAACAAATACCTTTTAGATTGATTCAGAAAATGTTTCAATTATTTAGAACTTTCCAGTGCTTACAGCTATGGGAATGTTTTGTGACAGAATCTTAATGTGTTGTGGCTGTTAAACTTATTAGTGGCTATGGGGAAAACTTGGTGTTTGTCTTGTAATATTTAAACTGCCTACTAACTACCTTCCTGTAAGTTGCTCAACAGCTGTCAGATTGTAACTTGGGCTATAAACTTAACCTGCATTTCACAATTAATACAGAAATGAAAGTGTCTGCATCCTAATTCGAGCTCAAGAGCATTTCTATCCCCTTTTTAATTAGTGTTTTAGGGAGACACTATTGACATTAATGATGTCATCTTCTTTCAGTGAATTTCATGTGTTAATGTCTATGATGAATGAAGATTTACATAAATCTGAATTATCTTAACATCTGAAGGTTTAATATTGCATGTTTGCAGTAATGTGTAGATAGAGTTTATGTAGGCTTATAACCACTTAGAAGGTGTTAAATATTTCAGTAAAAATTTTGACCCGATCTCTGGAGAAGACAGATTTCCTCCTCCCTCAATATGCAAGGCGCTTTATGCCTTATGTAAGTATACTGCTTTCTGCTGAACACTTGCATAATCCCAGTAACGTTGCCAAATGATAAGCAAAGCCAATAATTCAGAGACTTGTCCAAACAAAAAAAGTGACTAATCTTGAATCAGCAGTGAAGAAGTTACCCATGGCGGCTTGGTGACAGTCCAGAAACTAGTGACTTCTTGTGGTATCATTTCTGTCAACTAATCTATGCAAGGCAGCTTAGTTGTACAAGATCTCATTCAGAAAATGTAAACCTGTTTCACAAAACAGTATGTCTGCAAAATTCTCATGCTAATTTTCATTTTGCTTTAAAATAAAAAAGGCATTAATGATCTGGCTTTGAACTTCATCATCTTCTGCAACTCATTTTTCAATACGTTCAACACTTAAGAGGTAAGTGAGAGGTCCAGGTACAGATGGAGTGCCTTCACTCCTTAGAAGAGCTTCCTTCTGAAGGACTTGATTTCAAGTTCTTTGAATATAGCTTGAAAATGTATTTTTATTTACAATTTCAGCTGGATCGCTCAGTATCTCGTAACTGTTGTCCCTAACCACGATGTTAGTCTAGGGGAAGGGTGATACATGAAACTATAAAGAAATTAAATGTTTCACTATTTTTCTTTTGCAGAGGCTTGTTCTTGACATTGCAAGGAAGGTTTTATGATACTGTTAGGACATATATTGTATATAATTATTCATTGGAATAAGCTTTTCCATGAGTATTTTCTGCCTAACCATGAGTATTCATTTACAAGTTTGGGTAAAATTGTGATAGTAAAGTGTGGCCACATCTTTGTGAGAGCTGCAGCTTTGTTAGGGTCAAATTGTTGGTAAACATTAGTGTATTTTCTAGGTTTGAGAGGTGGAGCTGTGTGGGCAAATTGTAAATTTACCAGGTTTAATAGTATACTGGGTGTGTACTGAACCTTGTGTAAGTGACAAAATGCATAGGTCTGCTCTTGTGAATATCTGCAAACCTAAGAAGTTGTTTCACTTAACTTGTTTCACTTCCAACATTTGGTACAACTTGTTGATGAGCAAGACAGAGGAACAGGTATATTTTTAATGGCAGTCAGTTCCCCATGACAGTTTGCTGCACATTTGTATAATGCTACTACTGTGCAGAAGATGTTCTGCAGTAATGCAGGACTGTTCCTTTGTGGGATCAGGTTCAGAATATAGTAGAATACACCACACAGATATGATGCTTGCACTGAAAGAGGTAGTAGCTATTTTTATCTTCAGTTTTTTAATACCTTCTCTAAATAATAAATTTTTAGGGCAGAAAATGTCTCTGCCCTTTGCTTCTTATGTATTGTGCTCTTGTTCATTTGTTAATATTGTGTGTTTTCACACTTTCTCTGTTTTCTGATTACATGAGTTATTCAAACTATCACAGATTAAACAGAATTTGAAACTTAAGATGACAGATAATACAATACTTCTGTTTGCTTACAGCTAGTACTTTCAGGAGCCCTGTGCAGTACAAGATTGGTATTGTGTGTTTGCTTTATGACAAACCATAGATTTTTAAATTCATTTTTATCACAGAAGTAAGTAGCAATGCAGTATCCTTTTTTTTTTTTTTTTTTTTTTTTGTAGTATTCTTTCTTTCAAATAAATATCACTTTGCTTTTAAAGGAGAAACTTTATTTGTCTCTTCAGGAGTCACCTTTGTATGAATTAAATTTTCAACAAGGAATCTAAATATCTAAAACTAAATATCTCGGAAAGATATTTAGAGTTTTATTATTAAACTACAGGAATACAGTTTTTGTTGAGTATGGCAGTACATTTGTGACTGAACTTAAGTATTGATTGGCAGCTGCAAAGGAAGAATTAGAAAGAGGGAATGCTGAAAAAGCTGTGTGCCATTTACTGTTGAAAAACAAAACTCCTGTACAGTTTGACTTTTTATAAAAGTGGCAACTCTTCATTCATAACAATATATCTGTATTTTTTTTCAGTCCTCCCACCCATATAATCACTGTTAATGGAAAGGAATGTGTAAACTTTGCATCATTTAACTTTCTTGGACTTTTGGATAATGAAAAGGTTAAGGTGAGTTCTTCTCTATTGTGTTTGTGTGCTTATTCCTCTTTTACTTTGTATGTTATCTTGGAATTAAGAATGACTTCAGAAAGCACAAACTTTGTTAAGGAAGTATACTTCTAAAGTGGCAAGGAAGTTTATAAACCTTCTATTTTTGTACTGTTTAAGTTTGTCTTTTTACTAAAGTTTAATCTGGTGGATTTACTGTGTACTAGCTGATTATCAGGTTGAGTTAGTATCTAATGTCCTTAATCATTAGAATACAATGGACAGTGCTTAAACACTTGTTTAAAATAGTTTTGTTGTGAAATTAATTCATAGAATTCAGTACATTATTATACTTTCTGTAAAGCAGGTCATGTTACATGGTGCAAGAAGTGACCTGTGTACATTGGCATCAAATTATGAATGTGAAGCCTATAGAGGAGTTAGAGACCTAGTGTAGGAATAAATATTTCATGTAACTGTTTTATGCTAAAGAGTGCAGCCCAGGCATCTCTGAAGAAATACGGTGTTGGCACTTGTGGACCTAGAGGATTCTATGGTACTTTTGGTGAGTAACGTTCTGTGTTCTGCCTTTAAAGGTGTTCAGACTGGTTTGGTAAATCAGTCAAAATAGTCCAATATATAAGAAGCAAATTATTTCTATTGCTTTGAAGAATAGTTGCCCTCTAATATGTTTTTACCGTGATTGTTAAGGATTAGTAGCGTTTATTGTTCATAGCTTTTTTTCTTTCTCAGTTTATGTGTTTTCTTACTCTTTCTAATGCTGGTCTTGAAGGAGGGTTGCAAAGTTAAATATAATCTGTTTTAGTTCTGGTCACCATAGTAGAAAGAGAAAATAAACATATTCGAATTTAGTCATGCATGGTGAATTTAAGTGTAAATTAATAATAAGCTTCTAAGTAGACCACAAGAGGGCAGTCTGATTTCTGTGATAAAGATTACTAATGCTGTAGTCAAAATTAAGTTTTTCTTTACTGTTAATTTTAATGTTGTAATTAAGAGGTTTTATGATGTGAGTAGATGGTACTGAGGTTTTTTTCATTCTTTTTAGGAAGTAGTAAGTTGATAAATATCAGCCAGAAATAGTTCTTTGCAGGCATTAGTATTTTGAAATACTGCCTAGAAACAAGAGAATAATACATGAATAGTTTCACAGTTGCAGGCCAAAAAGCCATCAACTCGTTGTCTTGTGAACTCATATCTCTGCCTGTTTAGTGAGTCCCTATTAGGACATTTTTGCTTTGTGCTGTATCCCTGAAAACTGCATCCATGCCTTTATCCTATGACAATCTTGAAATACTAGTATATGCACACATAACTGAATCTTAATGGTTATTTTCTTCATGATGAAAGCTGAGGGGTATATCAGTTCTTAGGTTGTGAGGTTTTTTTAAGGCTATTGTTGATTGCCTAGCAGCCACAATTTCAGTACTACTGTGAAGGATCAGGACTGACTACCTAATAAAATATGTGAAAGATGGGGTGGGTTTGGTCTCAGTTCTTCTGCTTTTGACATGCATGGGAGCACATGTTAGGCACTACATGGGCACTTCATAGCAGTTTTTGACAATAATAGCTTTATGTAGTAAGCTGTACCAATCATATCTTCCTTGGTGCAAAAGTACTCTAGGTAGTGTTTGCAGCTTTCACTTAAACTAAGCTAATCCAAGTGATGCAACCAGACTAAGGCAAATCACTGCAATAAGAATAGGAGAGCCAGATAGTATTCTGGTTTTAACACGATGGAATGGTGGTGAAGCCTTAATTAATACTGTTTTAAGCTTTTCAAACTCATAATTATACAAAGCATTAATTCCCTTAATGGTGTATCAGATTTGTGTGTGCTCTATGTCATTCTGAGCTTAAATGTTCTTGCCCTTGGCAAAGTGTACTGGCCTTGTAAAGTTTTTTTCCTTAATACAAATCTGATTATATTTGTTAGCTCATTACTGCTGACAGTATTTCTTTCACCCACAGTTTCTACGTAGTCCTTGCTCAGTGCAGTGGTGGTTGTTGATAAGTAAAGCTCAGTAAGAAGCATGCAAATATTCATTTTTAACTGTGATGATCTTGTAATCTTTTCCATTTTTTTAGTTAAAGGATATAGGTGGTCTTTTACACTCAAACAAAACACTTTTTCCCCATTAGGTATCAACAGCTGGACGCTCAGAGTAGTAGTTCAGTCCTTATTTCCCCTAATTTGTTATTCTCTACTGGTAGAGCTACAAGAAGGAACATTTTTATTGTTTATATTGCATGTTTTGAGTGCCATATTGGTAGAGCTACAAGAAGGAACATTTTTGGCTGAGTATTGTTTATATTGCATGTTTTGAGTGCCATACGGCCAGCTTCTTTTTTTTTTTTTGGTGCTTGCTGACAGAAAAAGATCTTTCTTGGGCTTTTTGTTCAATAATTGAATCAAACTTCATCCATCCTGTTTTGAAGCCTGACTGGAGATTGCTTCATTCATCCTGATGTTCATATAACAATAAAGACAAAGATTCTGAAAAAGGACTGCTTAAAATCTCAGTCAGAAAGTCGATTAGATAACTCCAATCAGTATCCTTCCTTCCAAAAACTTTGGAGAAGAAAGTCTGTTCTAGATTTCTCTGAATTTTTGATATATCTAATTCAGCTGTCTCAAAGTGCTAGGTAGCAAAAGAAAAGTTTCAAATAATAAATGAATAAACTTCTTGTTTCCATTTAAAACCAGTGGAAAACCAAATAAAAAAAAAAATCCATTCAATTACATTTTTTGTTGTTCAAGTAGATGTTAGGAAAGTGTTGTTGAAAATTTATAGTTTGCAGTCTATAGAAAAAATTACTCTTGATTGTGATTGGAAGGCTGTTGTTTGAAGACATAGCATTTGCTTTTATTCTCAAAATGTATGAATCAGATAGTTTTCCCCTTTGGGGGAAAGGTTATGCTAGGAATTTGGTTAGTATGGCAAAGTTAAGATTTTTACAAAGCCCTTTCTTCCTACACCCTTGCTGTTGGTACTGAGCTAGAATTAGCAACATTGACATAACCATGCCTCATAGACTGTTGGAGAATCTGTATTTTTAACTGATGTTGCCTCATTTGATTTTATTTTGAGTGAACTTTGAATAATTGCAAAAAGGTAACATTCGGCCAATGGTGATCTTTCATGTCACACACTAAGGACCTCCATTTGTCTTTTGATCTTGTTTGTTTCCAGTTGATAAAAGGCATAATTCTCTGACTTTGGCAAGTCAGGTAGCAGAAGCAGGTAGGGGCAAGAGAGTTACACAGTTAAAATAACAGCTTGTCTGATACCGGTTATCTTGCTTAGGCAGAATATTTAATGCCATGGTCACCTTTATGCAGCAGCAATCCACTCACCATCTGGTATCACACTTCTTCGTCTTTTGATTTAGTGGTGTTTTGTTTCTAACGTGGGTCACTTTGACCAAATTGGTTTGGGAAATGCTTGTATGTGTAATTGTGTCAGTTCATCTTAGGAGTGAGTAATGTCTGGCATGGAGATAGTGACCTTTTCAATTGGCTGAAGTGCATTCAGGAGATGGTATGTGGTTGCAGCCTGACAAGAGCAGTTTTCTGTTACAATGATAGCTGTGCTATATGCAGTGGAAGCATCAGCTTAGAAGAACTGACAGTCTGCCAACAGGACCTCATTAATTGCTATAAATTACATAACTATTTGTTGTCTGACTGTAGTAACTGTGCTCCCTAGTCACAGTCCAGGAACACTGCATCGTTTACTTGTGGTCTAATCACAAGTGATTTTAATTACCATTGCATAAGAAGATGAGAGAACCACATTGCATAAATATTTTCAGATCTGTCAAAGCTTCCGATTAATGTTGGGTTACTTGTCAGTTTAAGTAAGGCTGGATTGGTTGCAGCTGATTTTGGGGAAGTTATTTGTTGTAACACTCTTCCTACAAATAAACATTCTGTTTCTTTCATTTAGATGATTGCTAAAAACAATGATGGTCTTCCTGATATGAAACAACAAAACTAAGATCTTTTCAATTTTCCTCTCAAATAGATGTGCACTTAGAATTAGAAGAACGACTAGCAAAATTCATGAGGACAGAGGAAGCTATTATATACTCCTATGGATTTGCAACAATTGCCAGTGCTATTCCTGCGTATTCAAAAAGAGGGGACATTGTGTTTGTGTAAGTATTATTTTCTACGTGGGAAGTTCCAGATTGAAGAGTTTTCCTTACCATTTTTCTTTTTCATTATTGTTAATCATATTAAGTTAACCATTTAGAAAATAATGCTGGTTTTGATCAAGTATTTTGTCTTACAAAGCTCAAATACCTTTTCTTTGTCAAATACTCAAAATCAAATCAGTTACTGGTTTTATCATGGAGGAGCAGACTCGGGCACTCAGCTGAAAAAAAAACAAACTTGTGCATGCAAGAACTAGCAGAAGTCTTAATACCTAGTTTTCTTCTTAAGGAACTGTACAGTCATAATTGCTTTTCTCCTCTTTACTGCTGGCTTTTCACGTTTCTTGCAGGATAGTTGCTCCCCTCATGCTTATTTGCAGTGGATCAATTGGATAAATATTGGTGGATATTAAAATAATACAGGAACAGCTATACAAGGTCAAACTAAGGATTCGGCAAGCCCAGTACGTGGTCCCTGAGAGTTGCCAATCATGATTTGTCTAGGGAAGATTAAAAAAAAAAAGGAGAAACAATGTAACAAAACTCAAAACTTCCTGGGACAAAAGAGGAGGGTTTGGTTTTAGTAGTAGTTGGCGCCTTTTTCTTAAGCCTTCCTATTCTCTTAGTACCTTTGTAAATCTTTAATATCCACAATGCTTCTATTACATGTAATTTCACAGTTTAACATGAACATTTTATGAAAAAATATGAAGAAACACCTGTTTTGACTATAACAGCTACTAATTTCAATTGATGCATTTGATTTTTAGACAGTGAACTGATCCATCTTCTCCATGGGGGGAGTGAGTGAATGACTATGTGGGTATTGGCTGCCTGCTAGAGTTAAGCCACAACACAGTGATATTTTTGTGTTTGTCTGCCAAAATCTTTCTGCTGTGCTCTCTTTTCTGAATGTAAGGCTTGCAGCCTATTTGGCTTCTTTTTACACAAAGTTATTTCATAACTTTGATCATGTTTTTTGGTCATCTTTGAGCATTTACCAGATCAGCTTTTTTTGAGACAACCAGGATTTTGCATGCTATTCAAGAAGCCAGTGTATCCTGTATTTAGCTATCTTCTACTGTTTCAGCTTCTTACTGACAAGAGATCTCACAGTATTTAAAAGCACCTTGGTTGAATTTATTGCATTTAGCATGTGCAGAAGCATTGATTTAATTGCCACTTTTAAAAGATTACTTGATTTAAGCAGCTGTGAAATTGTGTACCCCATCATAGTCAGAGATTTACCTTTCTAACAGTTAAAAACAGCGGATGGTTCTTGAACACTGAGATGGTAATTCCCAAAGGATATTAAAAAGCAGGTTTTGAATACTTGGAGAACCACTGTAAATGTTACAGGTACATCTTTGTGCCTTTTTTCTAAGACCCAGAGCAAATGAAATTAGAGGTTTCTGGGATGAGTACCGTGGTATTGTGCCCAGTCCGTGGAGTACTCTGCTCTAATAAACTGCTGTCATAGACAAACAAGAAGACCAGTGTACACTTCAGGAAAAATCCTGTTGGCTTGATTTTAGTGGCTATAGTGCACAGAAAACTTGAGGAGCTTTGGAAAAGAGTTTTCAGAATGGAAGTAAAATCTATGATGCTTTAATAAATCTGGGTTTAAATGCACCTAAATACTGATATCTGCTCAAAAACAGGACAGTCCTAATAGCCATCTTTCTTTGAATAATTGTTAAACCGAGTGCAAACTTAGGAGGGCTTGCTGTATTTACAGAGATGAAGCTGCCTGCTTTGCTATTCAGAAGGGATTACAAGCATCTCGTAGTAACATCAAGTTATTTAAGCATAATGATATGGCTGACCTTGAACGACTCTTGAAAGAACAAGAGACTGAAGATCAAAAGGTACCATTCCTTTGAAGAAATATTTGTACTTTTTTGTGCCACCTCCCACACATTTTTTTATTGGGTTGTATGATTGAATGGATGCAATGCTTACAGGCAGTTACTTGGTTTTCATAAATCTCGATTGAGCAGTTAATGTTGCTTATGTAATTGACATAGATTTAAAAAAATATATATCTATTTATTTGCATTTGTCTGTGTAATGACTGGATGCAAGTTCACAGGCACTGGTAGTGGAGGAATATTTTTATGGACAGATGACTGAAGTGAGAGATTTTTATTTTTTTTTTTAATACTATTACAGAGCTTTTTTTGGTCTTTTAGAAATTTGCATAACTGTACTTCCCTAATAAATAATGGAAGTTAATTATCAATTTGAATGCCACACTGTAAAATCAGCACAGAAGAGGCTAGTCTTAATCCTTTATTTTCCCTTGTCTGGCACTCGACTCCTAAGGTGTTCTTTCTCTTGAAGAATTTGGGTCAGTTTGATGGCTTGCTTCTCATTCTGATAGTAATACTAAAAGATGTCCAAAAGCAGCTACCAAAATCAGGATCAGGAGCTACAGAAATGAATTTTAAAATAATTAGCTGAATTGGCACACACCCTCATTGTGTGCCATGCTCACAGAATGCTGGAAAGTTACAGACAATTGGAAGAAAGCTGATTTTGTGCTAGCAAATAGAAAAAGTAGAGTAGATAAACTGCATTATTATAAGCCAGTCAGCTTAACATCAGTCTAAATCAGTTATGGATCTGATTAATAGCAAATTTGTAGACAACATACAAGTTAATGTACCTTCATGGAAAATACATTTTGTCAGATAATCTTTCCCTGAGATTTCAGATGTGGTTGGCAGACTAGTCATGCAATTTGTGTAACACATTTGGATTGTAAGAGCAGAGTGCTTTGATTTAGCTACATGGTTAAAGTTTCTTAATGTAATTAGCTGAATAAGAACATAAAGTTGGTGGCCAAGAGCTTAATATAGACCATGTGTGTATAACCAAGACATACAGACTAGGAGGGGGTACATCTTACCCCTAGAGTTTGTCTAACTTTTGGAATGGACTGTGCCTGCTTTTGGTGCCTACCACTCAGAAAAGTCAAATAGGTGTTCTCTGAATAAGTCCTTTAGAACAGGTGTTCTCTGTTTAGTCCTTTTACAAGGACTAAGAAAATAAGAAGCATGACTTTATATCTTTGATCAGAAGATATCAATAAGGTTTAAAGTAAATACGAGGGGAATGACATATAAAAAAAACCAAACCAAACCTCAAATCATATCATTGAAGTTTAAACAGAAACCAGTGCAGGGTGTTCTTATTATATTGTCCAGAGATCAGACAAGGAGATTGTAACTTGAATGTTATTAATACTTTTGGATTATGTTGTATGAAAACACTACTATGAGATGTTTGTGCTGCATTGACAATCCTGGTACACAAACCACTTGTTGAAAGCTCAGAGTAATGATGAATATAATAGAGACCAAGATTTGTAGTATTTGTTCTGTAGTTGTACTGTTTTTATTTTATTCATAAAATTCAAATGGAATGGTTATGATTTGTTTCAAAGCAAGGCATCTTATTTCTTGTGTAACAGTTAAAAGCTTTAAAATTATCACAAAATAAAGAAAAACTAGTTCAATGAGGCATTTAAACTTTTGTTACAAATTATAACTGCTAAGTTCAAACTAAAGTAAAGCTTACTTGAAAAAGACACATTATCTTCCTTCCCTATCAAAAAAATCTTCAGAGCTTTGCTTGTTAGTAATAACTGATATGAACTGAAACCAGTATCTTTCTCTGAAGAATCCTCGCAAGGCCCGTGTAACTCGAAGATTTATTGTAGTGGAGGGGTTGTATATAAACACAGGAGACGTTTGCCCTCTTCCAGAATTGGTAAGTGGTTTCAGCTTGCCTTTTAAAGGCTGCATTTGAAGATGTGGCTAATGAAATAGTAGTAACATATAGTTAAGCCTACATAGAAAAGCTCTGCATGCAGTTTTTTTGTTTACTTTCTTGCTTTTTCAAATGTTAATGAAATCATGAACTCAGGTCTTAAATTGTTTTGAAACTTCTGATCAGGATTACAATTCTGAAGCTATGTGTCATGAAAAGTGCAAATGAATGCCTGGTTATGGTCTTTATTTGTAATCTGTAAAATATACTGTATTTTCAACTAAGCTGTGTGATGCTAAATTATTAAACTAAGTTATATCTTAAAAAAAAAAAAAACTTTCAGAAAAACCCACACACTGCTGTCATAAACAGTGACTCCAAGGAAAATATTTGCTACTCAGCATAAATTGGCTTTTTGTGCAGGCTGTATTTTAGTAGATAGTGGAAGAAATGCTGTGAAAATGTGTCATCTTGAAAGTACTTAATAGCATATTTAAAAAATTCAAAGTTTTGGGGGTTTTTTTGTAAGCAAGCATTTATATGACATTTAGTCTTACATGGTGGAAGAATTTTGAAGGCTTTTAAAATGTCTTAATGACAGAACACAACTCTAGAGCTGACATTTTTGCAGTATTCAGGATACAGTACTTGTCTATCTTTACCTTATCTCCCCCACCCATTTTGTTACCAAATTCTGGTGGACTTGTATTTTATATAATTTACTCTGTTTTAGATAAAGTTGAAGTATAAATACAAAGTTAGAATATTTTTGGAGGAGAGCCTTTCCTTTGGTGTCCTTGGAGAACATGGAAGAGGAATTACTGAACATTTTGGAATAAATGTAAGTACTTTTTTGTCAGTTTTTTTGTGAACAAGAGACTTGTGCAGAAGCAAATTGTACAATTGATTTTTTTATACCTGTGGCATTAACAATGTTTAGTAGTGTACAATAGAAATTTAGGCATACTTTTCTTAAATCAGTCTTAAAGCATTCAGGTCTTGGCACTTTTCTTTAATGTGCTTACTTAAAATAATTTTACTTATCTTTAATGAGGAACATACCAAAATAATTTTTATAGTGCATAATTTTATGCTTGTTTTTGGACACATCAATGAGGTCATGTTTGCAGTATTTTCTAGCTGCATACACTTAAAAGTGTCATGCTTTCACGGAAATATTTAGGGACTAGAGGGGTAAGTCAGAAAAATCTTTTCAGTGTACAGCCAGCCTGCTTTGCTCTGTTGCTTTTTACTCCAGTGGGGAAAAATAGGATAAAGCTTTTGATGGTCCTTTCAAAGATGTTGTCTTACTACTTGTGGTAGTTTAACTACAAGTAGACCACTCTCCCCACCTGGTGAGATGGGGTGGGAGTCACAAGACAAGGGGCACAGGATTAGGATGAAGGACAGGGACAGCTCACTCACCAGTTATGGTCACTGGCAAAACAGACTCAACTGGGTGAAGAAAAATCAATTTCATTCATTACCAATCATCTAAGTAATGCAATGAGACATAACAACCACATATTTAAGACACTTTCCTTCACCCCTCCCTTCTTCCCGGGCTCAAATCACTTTGCTCCTAATTTGTCTACCTTCTCCCCCTCAGCGGCACAGGGGACAGGGAATGGGGGGTTCAGTCAGTTCATCTCTGCTGCTCTTCCCAGCGTGAAAGTCCAGGAACAAGATGTTCCAGAGCTTCCCATGGAGTCACGCACCTCTTCAGGCACAGCTCCCAGCTCTGGCATGGGGACATCCATGGGCTGCAGACAGGTCTCTAGTCCAGTGCACTTCATCACCCCCCATTCTGGGGGTCTACCCCCGCTCTGGCATTGAGCGTCTCTCGGGGTCTCAATTTCAGTCACACTTGCCCTCAGGCTCAGCTTTTCTGCTCCAGTGTGGAGTCCTCCATGGCCTACACGTGGGTCTCTGCTCTGCCATTGAACCTCCATGGGCTGCAGGGACCTCCTTTGCCTTCTCCTACTCCATGCAGTTGAATTAGGTGTCTGAGGTTCTCTGTCCTCCCCCTCCTCCTCCTGGCAACGAAGCTCTCTCTTTGTTTAGGCTGATGATTATCTTTTTATTCAGGTCAATGGTCTCTCCTCCAGGTTTTCTCCACCACCTTCTTTTCAGGACAGTCCTTCCCTCACAAATATGGATTTGCAGAGGCGTTTCCCTATTGCTCATTGGCTCAGCCTGAGCTGGGGGTGGTACGCCTTGGAGGCTTCTTGAAAGCTCCCCTTTCCCCCACTACCAAAAACACGCCCCCGCACACACAAAGCCAACACACTACTTCACTGGCAGATTAAGCCAGACTGTTTTTCCAGGAATCATTTTGTGGTGTTTATTCAGCTGAGGAGTACTTTGGAAATCCCAAGCAATGTCCTTGTGCTTGTTAGCTACCACAGCCACCGGAGCAGGGCAAGGAAGAAGTGCTCTTTTGATTGCCAGTGTCTTAGTGTGGAGCATCTCTCACTGCATTCTGACAGTGTCTGAACTCAGTTGGGAAGTGAAATAATAAAATTCTGGTAATTCATTCTGTCTTTCCCCATCTCCTTTTCACTTTAAGTGTCTTAATACCAAATGTGGAAGACAGAAAATGAATGTTAAACAGCTTTAGAAAAGAAAACAAATGGTGCTACTGTGATGCTTGCCAAGTACCATCTGATTAATTGGCTTCTGTGTTAAATTAATTTACAAATACAATCTTTCAGTTTTGTCTGCTCAGAATGGGAGTTTGTAGCGGTCATCAGTGTATATTACCCTGGCAAAATATATGTTTGCAGCTAACAAATGAAGTAATACAATTGTGTCTCTAAGGTTCAAACTCTGATTTAACTAGGCTTATGCTCAACTGTAGTCACATTCTGACTCCTTGTGACTTCAGTGGGACTACTTAGATTCTTAAAAGACACTGTCACATTGAGTGCTTTGAGGAGTTGACACCAGTATCTGTATAATTTGTTTTTTTTCTGTTTGTGTTCTTCATATTGCAGTGCCTGGAAAAGAGTGATCCTATGTAAATTATCTACATATCCATAAATCTCAGTTTATAAAGTCCTTTTGTATTGCTTAAAATTGTTATTTCAATCGTAGCTTCATTTTAATATGTGATAGTTTGGTGGATCTTTTCTAGTATTCATGATAATATGAAATAAGATATTAAAATATAAATAATCTTGATGTAATGAGAAGCATGTCTTAATAACTTGTTAATTATCTGGCAGATTGATGATATAGATCTTATTAGTGCAAACATGGAGAATTCACTGGCTTCTATTGGAGGATTTTGCTGTGGAAGATCTTTTATTATTGACCACCAGGTAAGCCAGGTCTCATTTTTATATGGCGTGGCAAGATTAGTTACTTAGAAATGAGAGTTAGTTACTGGTACCAATTTGCAAGGAGTGTTGTTATATAAATTATTATGCAACATTTGATTCCATACAGAAACTGTGTGGTTCTAAGAAATATTGTAGATGAATTGGAGACCTACTTTTAAATCCCTCCATAAACCTCTAAGTGTGGAGGAGAGGTTGTTTAAATGTATGTGAACTAATGTTTAAAACATTGTCTTTACTGCTATAAAGAAAAAAGTTTTGTTTTGTTTTGTTTTTTTCTTTTTCCCTCACAGCGTTTGTCTGGTCAAGGGTACTGCTTTTCTGCATCCTTGCCTCCTTTATTAGCTGCTGCTGCTATTGAAGCTCTGAATATTATGGAAGATAATCCAGGTACTTAATTCAGGAAAATCTCATTTTTCAGTCTTTCTTCACCCAAAACTAGTAACTCCTACTTCTCCCTGCTTTGATTCCTTACCCTCTTACTCTTTTAAGTCCTCTCTCTTTTTCAGCTAATTAATTTTACATGCATGATTTTTTTCTTCATATAATTTCCCATCCTGCTTTTCTTCTTCAGTGTTTCCTCCCCTTTCTTTCTTTCAGGTGAAAATGAGCAAGTTAGTTGAGACTGGGAGCGACAGAGATGGTTATCACTAAGCAAATAAAAATTATTTTTCTTCTTTATAGACTAGTGACATACTTCTTCCTTGAAAATAAATTGCTTCAAGACAAATGGAGGAAGGGAAGGTTAAAGAGAAACAAATGCAAATATATTTCCTCAGGACTGAACAATCCTTTCCTTCCCACTTGCACTAAATTTTTTTGTTCTTGTTCTCCAAGTAAGCATCCAAGCAAGAATCTGAGAAATTATTGTGGTGCAAACATCTGCAGTTTTGGCAGGACCAAGTACAGGACATTTGGATAAAGTTGGCAGGCAGGAGTTTCTGCTCTAGGAGTCAGAGAGTTGCCCTTGTCGCTGTTTTTTGGGGGGTTTTTTGGGGTTTTTTT